AATGAGACATTCTGCCTTCTTTTCTCGGAGCTCTTCAAGGCTCTGTGCATCTGATCCAGTTTTTGGATGAGCTCTTTGAACCGCTCTCTATCCTTATTATTCGTTGATTTCCTCCTGGCAATCTCACCCAGGAGGTCTATGATCGCTTTCTGACAAGCCTCATACGATTCCTCAGTTTCTTCGTTGGTGCTTCTTTTGTCTGCACCCTTCCCATCGGATAACTCCCCGACGCCGTCGGAGGAATCTGACCCCGTTTGAAGAGTGGCTTTACTTGACATCTTTTGAGCCTCATTTTGGTGAAACTCTCTCCTGTCCCTCCATTTCTTTCTTTTGAAAGGCGTTTTTCTGTTCCGGCCCCCTAATTGAGGGGATTTCCGGAGCGATTTTTTCGCCTTTCGCTTGCTTTTTGTTCTGATATCGACTTCACTCTCCGAGGAGGTGGTGTCCAGGAGACTGTCTTTCCAAAGTCTGCTGGGAACCACCCCGCTGTCTAAAAACCCTGGGGTGTGAAAGATCTCTCTCCTTGCTGCCCCCCGTGGGCGTCATGATCGTGGGAGGAGGAATTATCGCTTCGAGGGCGTTGCTCCCTTCTCCTCCCGATGCTATTCCCGGTTCTTTATTTCGGTCTGGGGAGCTTACCGGCATCTCCCCGCCGTTCCCATTTTCCTCTACGCGCCTATTGTCTTTATCTGATTCACTGATGATCAGTGAATTAGCCACTGATGGCGCGGAGCGCCTTCAGGGGGTTGGGCCGCGTAGCGGCCAGGGGGCGTAGCCCCCTAGTGTAGATATACTGTCCGTTCCGGGCTCAGAGGTCGAAACCTCCCAGTGCTGGAGCCGTTAGCTTCTTCAGTTATTCTGGATTCAGCGGCCGGAGTAACGGCTAGCACACGTAGAACTTTCTCCCTTTGAGCCCGCAAGTATCTCTACAGCCGGAGCTTTTTTTTTTCAGTGTGAAATTTTGCTTACTACTAATCAACACGATTCATTAAAGACGTCCCTCGACAGAGAAAATAAGAATTTTGGGTAGGCAAACATTGTCTTGAAACATGGAATTTCAGAAGAATGTACGTCGACTGTCTGAAGTTTGAGGCTGAACCCAGGGTTTGAGTGTGTCGATTTCCTTTAATTATAAATACTTTAAACACAGTACGTCAACTTCTTCAACACAATTTCCTTAAACATTCAATATCGCCAGTTTTTCTAGTAAATCTGTTAAAATTGAATGAAAACCTCATTTTCGCTGCATTGCACAATTTATGGCCTTTGCTCCGATTAGTTGATCCGTTGTCACGCATCCATGCGTGAAACATTTTTGCTACATCCTGATTAGTATGTTTGACAAGCACCACACGGTGTGGTTTAAAACTTTTAAATAACTTACGAATACCACCCGCGGTTTTTTTGCAGAATCTTGCTCTAGGAGGTCTATAGAATGAAGGAAAACAATCCGCAAAATCTGGGATGGAGCCGTTTTTTTTTTAGAGCGATTTTTTGGTTTTTTACGGGCAAAATGCAGAAAAAGTTGAAAAAAACTGTTTGGGGAGCTTTAAAAATATGCACCCAACACATTTCCATGTATTTAACATGTTTGTAGATGATAGTGGCATACAGAGTGGGCCGGGGGGAGGGAGTCAACTTAACCCCCCTCACCCCCTCGGACAAAATTGCATGTAAATATGGTCATTTTCCTTTTTTCCTGAATTTTTGGTCCGCAACTCTCCTTTCCAGTCCTTGGAATAATAAGAAGGAACACCGCCCCCCCCCCCCCCCCCGACACAATTAATAAGATATTTAAATTGCTGTAATAAAAATAAAATAATTCTTTTATTTCAAACAAAAATTCAACTCCGTGTTTTTGACATATTCTCAGTTTAGTTACAAAAAGACACCTATTCTTCCACAAGAAGCAATGGATGCAGTACAACTGTTGAAGTAAGACATTCAAACAAAAGTTTCATTTTAAACATGAGTGCTGTTATATTCAACTACTGCTTTTAGAAGCCGAGCGGAATATTCAGGATGGGAAATCGAAACTTTATACTTCTTCCAAGTTTTCTCAAAATCAGCATGGACCGATTCACTGGCCTGCTCGCTGTAATAGCCTAAACCTTTATTGGTTTTGTCACAAAAGTATGGCACATGGTAGATGACGGCGTGTACTTTTGGAGTATAGGGAATTTTTAAAGCATCATAACTTTCCTGAAAATGTTTGATTGATTGGTGATAATTTTCCCCCAATTTTTTAGAAAAACATGCCTCTACCACATCATTGAAATTTTTCAAACAATCGACAAAAACAAGACAGCCGCCATCATACCTAACAGAAATCCTCCTTAAATTATCGACTTTTTTCAGTAAATTTCTACATGAATTCCCATTAAAAGAGGGCTTTCCCATATAAATCTCCCGCGATACATGGCATTCCTTGGCCCATTCCTCCGCTTCTTTTTGAAAGTCCTTCAACATGAACTCGTATAATCGATTTACGACTCCAATCAGCAAATGTAACTCTGGGGGTGGAATAATATTGATAATCTCCGAGTCATCATGCACATCAAGATCGAATAAGGGATTATTTACACAGTTTTCAAAAAATTGTGCTCTATCCTTTTTGCTCCCGTCTTTTTGCCACGCTTCAAAATTGTTCACAATATTTTTTAAAGTTCTTAGACGACCACACATTCTTAATTCCTCGCTAGATACTGAACACCATGTACATGGATGTTTACAAGAATGTGCCATTATTCCAATTAAAACGTTTGCTAACTTTAGATCGGTTGAAATAGTACACTTCAGTTTATCCAGTTTTAACAATAACCAAAGAATGGAAACATTTTGGAAATTCTCTTGAGCCGATTCAACAATACCGACTATGAGCAACTTCTTAACACCAGAATCTAAAAATGTAATATCCCGGCTGCTTTTATCATAGGTTCGACGCAATCTTTTATCTTCACAACTTTCATCATCATCTGAACTTTTTAGCAACGAAACGCAGATTTTAAGGAATTTACCACCTCCGTCTATGCCTACTTTTAAGTGACCTACTGTGGCACCTCTTTCTCTTTCCACTTTCTTGCATAATTCTACAACATTTTGACAAAAAACAAATTCCTTTTTATCTACTTGACTAATGTTCTTTTTAGTCTGGGTAAATTCAGCCTGTGCTATGTCAAAGTATTCTTCAAGTAAATGACTTTTGGATCTCAATTTACGTGTTAAACCTGGTTCTATTATTTTCCTATCTTTTAAATTAATTCTAATGAATGTTGCTATTTCGGTGATGGAATTGGAGCTCAAGCTAAGTTTCGTCTGTAGCTCCACAATCTCACTCGCTGAAAATTGACAATGATTTGTCTTGGGGCGTACATCAACATTTAGGGGCTTGCCGTGTTCTTGGGAGAGAGATATTATACTACTAGAGCCCCCTTTGTCAACTTGTTCCTTCAGAACTTTGCATGCCAAATGTTGTCGCGATGTCCCAGGAAGTTCTTGCACTGCAGCTTTAATATTTTTATATTGAGAGTATATCGTACAAACGTGCTTGGTGCCCCTGGCTAACTTTGACAAACAAGTAGAGCACCTTCTGGAAACAATTTTACGCTTTTTCGCATTGCGTCGGCGTTTGCTTTTCAGGGAAAAAGAAATTTCACTGCGCGCTAAATCACACAACGTGCACTTGCAAATTTTCCCGGTAGCTGTTACAATATTCACTGAAGAAAAATCTGAACAATCTGGAAAATCAAAATTTTTACCACTTTTTACCAGTTTATAGACGTCTAAACGACACGAGAAACAGATCGATGTTGGGAGCTTTTCATCCGCTGGATCATAACTTGTGGCCACGGTTTTAATTTTTTCCTTCATTTCACTGCCAAGAGGTTTCATGTTTTCCTTCTTCTGCTTACAACAAACACAGAGTTTTTTGCGATTTTCATCGTGAGTTGCGGAGTGACTTTTCACTTTAAACAACATATCGATGTTGAAAAGTTCACCACAAAAAGCGAAACAACAACAAAAAGCCAATCAGAACTAATTAGAGCAATTGATTAAAGGGGGGAAACAGCGCAATTTTGTACCAACATTAAAAATTGTCAATCTTGAGAAATGATCGACAGCAGACTGATCGTATTTGTTTACATTCAGCAAGCACTGACGATGAGATGCAATATTGCAATTGGACTTCGATCCAGCACCTGTGATCGCATCCTGAAAAGATCGTTTATCGGGCATTTTCATAATGATAAAATCGTAGATTAGACAGCAGCTCGGCGTTGGCTGAGGTGAGAAGTGTGAGTGTGTGTGAGATGAGGATTCACATGTCAAATAATGACGTGGATAGACATTTTCCAAAAGGGGCACCTCTCCCTTTGGACCTCCGGCGACCAAAAATTCAGAAAAAAAGGGAAATGACCATATTTACATGCAATTTTTGTCCGAGGGGGGGGGGGGGTTAAGGTNCTGTATGCCACTATCATCTACAAACATGTTAAATACATGGAAATGTGTTGGGTGCATATTTTTAAAGCTCCCCAAACAGTTTTTTTCAACTTTTTCTTCATTTTGCCCGTAAAAAACCAAAAAATCGCTCTAAAAAAAAAACGGCTCCATCCCAGATTTTGCGGATTGTTTTCCCTCATTCTATAGACCTCCTAGAGCAAGATTCTGCAAAAAAACCGCGGGTGGTATTCATAAGTTATTTAAAAGTTTTAAACCACACCGTGACCACGAAGACAGTAAATGTGGAAGTCTTTAAATTCTCAACATATTGTCGGCTTAGAAGCAGGAAGTAAATGAAAACATGTTTAATGTATCCTCTAACTGCAGTTAATCACAGCCTGCCGCCTCAAAAAACAACATTTTTCCTTTAAATTAATAGGCTCGCCGAAAAGGTTTTAAATAGATGGCGATTTGTCTCATTTACGGGATTTGTCTACAACAAAAACATACCTACTTTTAACCAACAGCCCAATGTGACTGAGTCCCTCTGTCGACAGGTATCCGACATTTGAAGAAGCTGAAGGTCCTGGAGATACTGTACGGAAACATCGACGTGCTACCCAAGTTCGCGTTCGCCAACCTGACGCAGTTGCAGGACCTGTCACTAGCGCGCAACGAGATCATGCGCTTGGAGGAGTTCTCGGTGGCCAACCTCCCGGAGCTCATCGTCATCACCCTGGGCGAGAACCGGATTCAGGAGATCGGGAAATTCGTCTTCGTCAACTTGCCGTCCCTCCGCAAGCTCTACATCGACCGCAACAACATCAGCGTCATCCACGAGGGCGCCTTCGCCTACCTCGAGAACCTCGAGGAGCTCGAACTCTACCAGAACCGAATCTCCCACCTCACCAGGGAGGCCTTCAAAGGACTCGTAAATCTCAAAAGGTTATTCCCATTTTTATAATCTCATTCCTCCTCCAAGTGGGAAGCATTAATCGGACCGCGTTAAGCAATAAGGAACCAAGCCACATCAGCCATTGCCAAATTTAACTGGGCAATTTAATTTTCTACCTAAAACTGATTGTGCGGATCTTGGTGCAAATATCAGTGAATTTTCTGCATAGAAAGACGCAAATTCCTCAAAATTTTCAAAGGAATGGACCACTAGACAAGGTACGAATTTAAGCAATCTGATACATGTCTCTTAACCAGAATTTCATGTAGAACACGATTCTTACAACGAAAATTACTGAAATCAACTCCTAACAAAGATATTAACGTTTTTATTTCACATTGGCTACAAGGAATTTGAACTGCCCGCTCACAAGAAACGCAAAGCTCTACGCGAGTCAAATCGCGCACTACAACGGTTTCAGCAAGCCTCTCAATCGAGCAATGTTCATTTTCCACCATGTGTTGTTCAAACTCTAAGCTATTTGCTACAGCTGAGCCAAAGCGTCAAGATTGAGGTTGCCAGATTTTTACATCGCAGAGACTGTCATGATAACGTTTAGCGCGCGATGTGAATCACGTAGAGCATTGAGTTTTCATGAGCGGGTGGTTTGAATTCACGCATCAAGAATCATCAAATATTTAGTAAGGAGTATTTAGTAATTCTTAGTAAGGAGTTAATTTCGGTAATTTTCTATGTGCGCATCGTGTTCTACGTGAAATTTTAGTTACGAAACATGTATCAGAATGCTGAAATTCGTACCTTGTCTAGTGGTCCATTCGCACAAACGTTCTCTTGTAAAACATTAAAGTACCTAGTTGAATTTGGCAATAGCTGATGTGGCTTGGTTCCTTTCTGCTGAACGCAGTCCTTTTTCACATCAGTAGCGTGAACTAATAATTTTACGTCATATGGATCAAAGAGGAAAACACGAAAACAGGATGCAAGAAGTCTCTGAAATTGGTAAAATGGGCTTATAAGCATGTACATTTTTGGCTGAATCTGTTGATACTGATATAAATGTTTTTAATGTGCATGTTATCTCGCACTTTTGACTAATTTCCGTTTTATACTTTTCGTTGGCCTGTTTGATAATCGAGTTAAACAATTTCGTTTCATTTCAACATTCGTCTGAATAAGTTTACTGCTGAAGTTTCAGTTTCAAATATCCATGTAGCTGAATATCAGTGAATGAACTGAATGCACCTCGTCGTTTCTATGACGTTAGGGCGTATCGCGAATCCCTCACAAGCCCTATTTTCTCACGTATGACTCTTTTGTTTTCCGGGGCTCATGTGGGACACCGACCCTTACGTCAGAGAGACGACTCTATGCCCATTGGTGGACGATTTAATAACAATGGGTATGTCGCATGCAAGAGATCCAGCCAAGTTAATAGACTAATTACAATTTAAATCACATGGAAACAACTATGAGCACATGAAGTAAGTCCGAAATCCACCTGCTGGTCTAAAGCTGGGTTGGTGCCGAAGAAAAAGCATCTTGAAGGTCCAAATGCACTCGAACATTTATTGTTTTGGGACAGCGAGGAGAAAACCAAGCCTCCCGTAATTTATTGTTGTAGCCTAGTTCTCTCAACATCATCGGTTTCTAATACTTATTAAAACTTTTCCAATGGAAATAGGAATAATTCAATCGATTCTTTTGAACAGCAAGTTATCAACCAACGGGATTTTAAACACTAGATACGTTTCGGCTCGGGCTGACCCAGAGACTAGAGACCCTCCACTAGCCAAGTGGAGACAGGTGGAATCTATTACTTTCGGGGACTCAACAATTCCGTATGGACAATGATAAGAGAGCAACAGTCATCACCCTAATTTCGACTTTTGACCTTTTTTCATGGTGGATGATGAACTTTGGGTGACGTCATGAGCCAAACAAGTTTCCCAGACTTCGGCCATTTTCGGCTCGTTTGAAAAACGAAACTGCCAACACGTTGTTGAACATCAAGTATGTAGGTAAGTCAACATTAGCATGCTGAATTCCCGAAAATAAAAGCTTCCACCATGGTCAAGATACTAGTATAGGGGCTCTTGTCTCAGGGTTTACCCGATGAGACTTCTCTGGTGTGCTCATCGTGATGTTTGAGTCATTTTCTACCGTAAATATTCCTCTCGTTTGCCTCATTCTTATCCTGCAAGAGTCCTCCTGTCGCGGTCGATTTTACTTCGTGGTCCTTCCTGTCTGATGTTTTCAGGCTGGACCTGCACTCGAACATGCTCGCTGAGCTCGGCCCAGAAGTGTTCGCAGAGATGCCGAACCTGGACGAACTCATTCTCGACGAGAACAAGATAGTGCACGTGAACAGCGAGGCGTTCGAGGGGACGAAGCTTCTGACGCGGCTGAACCTGGCCAACAACCTAATCCGGAACCTGGACCCGGGCGTCTTCGAAGACGTCCGCAAGTTGCGCATCATCGACTTGCGCAACAACCACCTGCGCACGCTCACCTACAGCACGCTCCATCCCTTCGTGGAGAATCTGAAGCTTAACACTTCGTACTTTTTCATCGAAGGTGAGTCTCTTCGCTGCTTCAATATTGGGGAACTTTAGGAGCGCTTTATGGTGGTCATACGGGGGGGGGGGGGGGGGGCAGAAAAACGCTCCAGCGGGCAGGGTCTTGGAAACTCCATCAGCTCCGAAGTGCTGAGTCAACTTAAACAAAAACATAAAATAAAAAACCCAGGACGTTACGTAGTATTACAACTGCATTGTTAATCGGTTGTTGATGTTACTACCGGGTTAGTTGTGACCTTCACCGCGGTATTATCGTAACTGCAGCACGGTAGCTGGCGCATTTTTACTAGCCGCTGATTATGTCGACTGCCCTATTTTTTGCCGTGAAGGAAACTTAAAAAGAAACAAAACTGAGTCTCATTGCTGTTGTTGTGATACTCAGTTTTGTTCTTTTTTAAGTTTCCTTTTTTTCCGGTCGAAAAGCAAGTAGTAATACTGCGAGACGTCCTGGGGTTTTTTTTTCCAAATGTTTTTGCGGCCTTAGTTCTTTATTTTATGGCGATTTAGTATTGTCGCTTCCTATTGAGTTAGCTCCGAGGAGGGGTTCGGAAGATATCCTTGGGAAAGTGTGGAAAAATTGAGTAAGTAGTTGCGCAATTTTAGTCTATACTTATTAAAATCAAAGCTATGTCACGCATCACGCAAAATCCCTCGTATTTTCTGCGGGGGGCGAAGTAGATTTTTAAGGAGGAAAGGGGTCAGGCCTCCCTCGCTTCCGCACATCCACCCTTTTGTATCAACTGCGTGTATTCGCACGGTAGATCAAAGGGGTCTCTCTCATGTACACTACATCATTTAAGAGGACGCTTTTTCAACGCTCACCGGGTAACTCATCTTCTGCGATTGATTTTGTTCTCTTCGGTGCCTGACTTCGTTTTTCCGAGCTTTTTCCCGGGGGCCCAGTCCATCAAATACTCGCTCTCTTCAACCATTGAAGAACTGTGGCAAGGCTTGAATTGTGTGGTGCCACGCAATAACTCGCGTTGCATGGCTGCGCGTGGTTCCAAAGATCTTTATGCCCTTCTTTATCGAGTTTTATGCATTTGGCATAGAATAATTTTTTTCTGAGATTTACTTCTGCTGAACTTGTTTCCACGTACACGAACTTTCGCCGGCTTAAAGGAAGGGTTTCACCGCTGCACGAAACACGTGCGGAACGTGCATTCCACCTTGGAACCGTTTTCGCCCACATTTTTTTTGTAATTATGGATTATATTTCAACCTAAACATATGAACAATTCAATCCTTACAATTATTATCAAGGCTGAGAGCACCCTACATCAATTATTTGCAAAATTCCAAGACAAATGAAGAGTAGGAAGCATACTAGAGTGTGAAAAAACACAAAAAACATCGTGAAGGTGGACTTCGATTTCCTAGGGTTCCTTTTACTCTTGTGCTCCCACGACACCCCTATGTCTTCCCTAAAACCAAATTTAGGCTTCAAGATGTACTTTCCAACATATTTTGATTTATACGTATGTATAAACTGCACGAGAGGCTCATGTCATTTATATAATTTTGGTAAAAACGCTAGGTTTATGACTTTAATAAGTAGAAGGAAATAACGGTTCCACAAGGTGTATTTCAGACTTTCCGGTACGCTCACCGTGATTTTTGACCCATTTGCCATTTTAACTAACTCTTCCTCCTGCTCTATCTGAAATTTGCAAGGGTCCACTCCAAGTTACACACCTGTCATTCATCAAAGATGTCAATCTATACATTTTATCGTAAGCTTTCGAATATGCTCAGATGAAGATGGACGTCACCCGGTAAACGCTGTTGACCCCGCACGAACCAGGCACTTAAACTCTGGGAAAAAAGTCATAAACCGCCCTAAACTCGTTGAAGCTCTTTCTGCCAGACCCTTGCGAACTCGTTATTAAGCTCGGTATTAGGCGACGCACTTAATAAGCGCAATGACCTCCCACCCTGCAGCGACGCCGTTTTACGACTCACACGTTGCCACCGCGAGGCGAGGGAAGCAACAGTCCCGGAACCACGTGCACTTTTTCATCCCACGCTTTTGAACCGGACCGTCGACGTTTTCAATAATGAGTTCTCGAGGAACTGAATTTTTATTAGCTCTATTTTTATCGGAGGGGGTGATGATGTAATCGTAATTTGTCGAGTCGCCAGTGCGGAAAAGAATAAATCGTCTCTTCTTTCGGTTGCGTGTTGGGGCTACAAATAATTCACAAAAATTCGTTATTCGTAATTTCCATGATAATTAAAGCTTCTTGTGAACTTCGAAAGAAAAAAACTGAGAGAATGAACGAAATATCAATCCGCGTTATTAAGTATGGAAAAGGTATCAACCAAATCGACATACTTTCGGATAGTGGAAGGACTTCTAAGTTTCTAGACTACGAAAAGACTTGGAGTCTTAAATGATTAACACTCTAGAAAAAGTGTTTTAAATATCTTCAGAACTTCAATGTAATGTTTCTTGATTAAATAAATACGAAGGGAAAATACGACTAGAACGAGGCATAGAACCGCGGCTATGGTTCACAAGGATTCCCCTTTGTGTTGACGAATCAGCGCAGCTGATCATTTGATAATATCTTCGATTAATGTTTCAAAATAGCTTATGATTTTCGCCGCCTAAGTTTGTGACAATGTGGCCATCTGGCAACGTTGTTTTTGAAGTCCCCTTAAATTTCATCACTATTAAAAAAATGACAAGCCTTACCAGACGGTAATATTTCATTGCTGTCAATTCACTTGTCATTTACCATTCCCAGAATTTAAGATCCATCGTTAACATTTTTATAGGTCAACAGACCTAACGTAATAGCTTCAAGGACCAACCTCAAAACGTTAAACGCTCACCTCTCGTAATTATAAGTGTTATTGTCTCCATCTAGTGTGCCTGTAATGAACATTAATTGAAAGCTCCTTTTTTTTATCCACGCACTGTTGGAGGTTTTTTTCTATTCTTATTTATATGAATCATGTGTATATTTATTTACTGTGTCCAGAACTTTTGGTCCCATCTTTTACTCATTGTAATCTGTGGCCTGATGACCAGCCCCTGGTTTTGAGCTAATAATCACCGATAATTTGCGTCTTTCGGAAGTCCAGCTAAGATTTCGTGCCAACCCAAAGCTGACAGGTCACGTGTTTCGAATAAGTTGTATCGAATACTCGGTGGCTTAACATACGTGAGTATGGCCCATGTCAATCTTATGTGCCCAAGATGAAAATCGAAGAATTTTTCTCCATACCTTTCTTACGCCCGAAATCGCCCACAAATCGCGTTTTTTCAATGTTCACCTCTTTTATTGCTTAGAACCTTGAGCTAGTAGGTTTTAGGCATCGGTTCTTTTATTATAAACATAACTATTGTGAGTATGAACATCTGTCGCCTTTGGGCTGGTGATGAAATAATTGTTTTTCTCCTGTTCCGGTGAAACGATACTTCATTTATTTCCGAGTTTTAGACTTAGGCAGAGGCTGATTGAGAGTCATGTTGCTTAGCAATTTGGTAATTAAATAAGAATTAAATCGATCAAATTAGAAAACTCAGACTTTCGTTACTTAATTTACTTTTTTTGAACGACGTTTGGTAATCAATAATGGAAATTTGAAAACTTCTTACCCCTTTACCGAGACTCACGGACTAACACTGCAGAGAAATCGACAAACGCACTCGGTTTAAAATAAATTCGCAGCTCATGCTTTGTCGCCAAAAAGTACAAAAACTGTGAATTCGCCCCCTCATTAAATCTGATGAGAAGACAAAAACACCTCTTCTTCTAATATGCCATAGATAAAAAGTTTACGCATCTCAGATATAAACCCGCGAAATATCTTCCCCTATTCTGAGCGGATTGAGATTGAGCTTCCAACGCTTCAGGACGTGGACCAAAAAAATTCACTGTTTTCACGTCTTCTTCATTTTCATTTTCTCCTCTAATCCAGCCAGCGCAGTTAATGTTGGCGCCTATGAGACAATGCTCATATTGGTCTGATAGTTGTCATCCTCTTACTTTCATGCGCTACACATTAGAATGACCGCAATAGGCTCTTTTCGGAATGTAAAATTATCTACCGAGAGTTCAGGATGAGTAACTGCGACACAAAACAAACACAAGAATTAAAGAGGCACATACATATTCATCTCAAAGGTCTTTTCGCCACATGAAATCAAGTAACGAAGACCGCAGCATCCTGCATCCCGAGCATCAACTTTACATTGCAATGGGCTCTTTTCTGAAAGTAAAATTATCTATAGTGAGTTCTGGATGAGTAACTGCAACACAAAACAAACACAAGAATTAAAGAGGCACATACATATTCATCTCAAAGGTCTTTTCGCCACATGAAATCAAGTAACGAAGACCGCAGCATCCTGCATCCCGAGCATCAACTTTACATTGCAATGGGCTCTTTTCGGAATGTGAAATTCTCTACCGAGAGTTCAGGATGAGTAAGACGTTCAGAAATTCAGTCATGCTCGCAAATTCATTTGTCGAGGATCTTATTTGCGATTTCAGGACGAAGGCGTCACTGTTTTTGCCGTCAGTAAACTAGGGACCGAAGACTCCAAAATGGATCATTAGACAAGGTTCAAATTTAAGCATTCTGATAAATTATTCCTTCAGCTCTTGCACGCCACGAATAGGAAAGTCACCTACTTTCAAGGCACCAGAGGTAGTTGATAGTGGGTCGGAAGCAACAGAGGCCCGATTTTTGAGCATTTCTTCCCAAGTTAAAATTTTCAATTCCAAAACAGCCACCTGTCTTGAAAGAATACACATGCATCTGGCAAGATTATCATTGGTAACCTCATGAATGGGTGCAGAGTATGCACGAGCTTTATACTTGGCGTCTGGTAGGAGGCTACATTTTGAGAACGGATTATCATTCTCATCTTCTTCAACAACGTCTCTTTCATCTCTGACGTGTCTACTATCTCCTTCATCTATAACGCCTCCACTATCTCTTTCAGTCTTATCTTGGGTATCATCTGTAGAATCCTCCTCTGAA